AATTTAAATGCTCGTGATATTCTATATTTTGTATAATAGCCACGGTTCCATAAATGCACCCAGTCTTCTACTAATACTGTTTTATAATATGGTGTACAATCACCATATCATCAGATGTCGACATCATTTTTCAGATAAAGCCAGTTTATTATGCAAATAGTTATACATGAGTGGAATAACATGATGACACTATTAGTGAAATATGATAGTATAATAATCAAGACTTTAATATTTAATTGTTTTTTCGGCTAGGACATTTCCAAAAAACAAAAAAATGATGTTATAATTGATTTCATTTGGTTAAAAAAACCTGCTTCAATGTTCATTTCATTTTACAAACATTATCTGCTTGCACGTATAAATTTAAGTCATTTGTAAACAAACTATTTCAAGTTTAAACAGTTAAATGTAATTCATCTTTAGGTACGTTATTCCAAGTTCAAACCTATTTCATCTATAGATACACTATTCCTTTACTTAATACATCTATCTATACACTATTTCCCATCTAACTTTATTTCTCCTTTTAACACACAATGCCATATTTTCAACTTCTGAGTGAAATATATGGAGGTAATGAACAGTATTCACGATCAAAAGTTCGTTAAACAACACAAAATAGGAGCAGAGGAAACACAGACCTTCAGCACATCAGAGTTGGGATCAGGTGCCATGGAGGAGTGACAATCCCCTGCCGACCGGTCACACCCGCCGTAGGCTCCTTGTCATGATTGGGAAATAACGGAAATATCCGTCGTCAATTCAGTACATAAATAATGGAATAACAATTAATATGAAATACGTCAGTCAGCATTTGACTCAGTGATAAATTGTATTTGCTGACAAGGTCATTGTATCGACCATAGAACTTACGAAATAATGACTTTAAACGAGACTGCTAATATTCTTGTTTCATCAACTTGTTTGTCAATAATTTACTTCGAATCAACTGAGATGCATAAACTCCGTCTGCAGGTGATGAAGGAATATTATTGCATAAGTAAGGGAAATTGACGATATAAAAGTTAAAGTCATCACGTTAATCATAGAACATGGTTGTTAGATTACCATTAATGTCTTTAAAAGTAAAATAACCAAGTATGAAACAGATGTGTCAGACTCTGTGGTATCTTTTATCTCAAGCTCATATCTTGTCGACATAAGAATGGAAAATACAATTGATAATTGAATTGTTAGTGAATTGACGACGGATTTTTCCGTTATTTCCCGATCATGATAAGCAGCACACTGCGGGTCAGTCACTCTCTACCATCGGCTCAAACATACATACATTGTCTGAGAGAGGAACGAACGACAACTCTGCATGGGAGATTGACGGCGGGTGTGACCGGCAGGTGATGCTCACTCCTCCATGACACCTGATCCCACCTCTGATGTTTTGGAGGTCGGTGTTTCCTCTGTCCTTGTTATTTATTGTTCGTTATCTCCATATGTTTCATCTTTAAAATGAGTAATGCATACGTGCTAGCTATATTCAAGGAATATCTCTTCACCTAAAATGTCTAAATAATAATTTTGCGTCCATGGCTTATGTATAATAGAATTAATATTAAATAAATGCAAGCTACGTAGTATTAACTTTTAATATACATAGTACAATTTGTGGAAACCATTACTTTAACATTTTTTAGACCCTTATGTTTTAAATTTTTTATCAAAGTTGAAATCTACATCAATTAAGTCACAGCATTACAATATAGTTATGGTTTTTATTTCAATCCACAAAAGCATAAAGAAAAAATACTCAAATAGAATTTTTATTAAAAGAGCCTGAAAGCTTCTGTGGAAAATCTAACAATAAAAATAATTTGAAGTCTTAAAATGATAGAAATCAAAGACTTTAAATAAATGGTTTAAAAATTAAAAAGAAAGTATGGTCGAAAAAAAAATTACATTAAAAAATCTTTGATTATTTAAAGTACCTAGAGAATACAATCTATCATTGTGACGTTCTTCTGTGCGCTTTGTTTTTCTGCATTTGACTACTGATTATCCCCAAATCTTACTTATTAATAAAGGAGGATTTGGCTGAACAACATTATCTGCTAGACTCTTGATCCTCTCTCATAGTTTCCAGGGGTCCATGTTTTATGCCCTGATTAGAGATTTGTGTTGCTGGAGTAATTTTTAGTTCACCCAATGCTTGTTATTGTCATGTTGTAAGTTTTGAATTTACTGGGTGGCAGTAAATACAAAATTTACAACATGACGTCATGTTGTAAATTTTATATTTACTGCCACCCGGTAAATTCAAAATTTTCAACATGACATTATCTTCACCTTTCTTTTTTCGTTTCATATTTTAACTTAGTCACATAATTTTTCAGAATTAAAAGCATAAATAAATTTGGAAGTACTTAATGAACAAGATGTGTTTGTGAAACACTATGCACCCGGCGGCAACAAAGTTAAAAAACATATTTTTAGCATATTAGTGACAGTCAAGGTCACAAGGTCATTTGTCATTGTCATTTGAAAGAACTTGATAAGTGAAGTATGCATACCAAATTTGAAGTCTCTATCTCTCATGGTTCAAAAGTTAGGTTGAAGGTTTTAAAAAAGCTATTTTTAGCATATAGGAGACAGTCAAGAACACAAGGCCACTGACCTTGGTAATATGTGAAAGGGCTTAATTAGTGGAGTATGCATGCCAAATATTAAGTCTCTATCTTTCTTTGTTCAAAATTTATGGCGAAGGTTAAAGTTTGTCGACAAAAAAACTATATTTAGCTTATACGTCACATTCAAGGTCACAAGGTAATTGACCTTGGTGTCATCTGAAAGAACTTAATTAATGGTGTATGCATATGGTTCAAAAGTTATGACGAAGGTTAAAGTTTGCAGACAAACAGATAAACAGACAAACAGACAGGACAAAAACAATATACGCCTCGGATCTTTCGATCCCGGTGCATAAAAATTAATGGAAAATATTACTGGCAAATAAGATAATTGTCCCTTTGAACTTTAGATAACTAAATTTTATTTCTATTTGGAGAAGGAAACCTTTGTCTTTTGATTTTTTTAAAATTTGTATTCAAGAACAGCTAATTGAGAAACACAAAACAGTGAGTAAATATTAGACATGCAATTGATAAAAAACAAAGTTAAATTTTAATACTTTAAAATTGGAACTGTAGTTACAAAGTAAACATCACATCATATTCGACAAATCAATAATTTAGGGAATACGTAACAGTTAGCCAATCACCTGTCAGTAACTCGTATATGTTTTTGATATTTATTTTTGGTGTTTGGTATTATACCATATTGCAAATTATTACAGGTACATTGTATACACAGCAACAGTAGCTTTAAATACAAAATACGATATGGGCGCTCTACGGGCTATCTATTTTATTTTTGTCTTCTTTGCGTTGTCTCAATCGACTATTATTTCGCGGAAATACCTCGCGAAACTTGAATTTGATGATAGGAAATCAAATAATGAACTTTTGAGAGAATACAATGCTACATCGGAGATAGAGTGTGCAGCGTTCTGTCAAAGGGAGTGTAGCTTCTTTGGATTTAATTCCAATATGAAGAAATGTCGTACCCACAAAAAGACTTTCACGTCTGAGATTACTAATGAGGGTGGCTGGAGATACTATTCCCATGACTGTGTGTATAACTGTTATTTTTCTTTGTTTGGAAATTTGCAATTTAGATTTTTTGAAATAAAATATTAAATTTCAATATACCAAATCAGTTTGAGTTTTTGAAAGTTAGAAATTTGAATTAATGTTTTAACATTCGAAAACTCAAAATCATTTTAGAAATTTGAATTGTTAAGTGATACACGGACCAAAATCACATAAATCGTCATTGTTTTTCATAGAACAACTTTTAGAAAAAAAGATTAATTAATATTTTCAATGAACGATAGTATTTTTTTTCTTAGACATTAATGTTTTATTAATTCCAAATACTAGTAATAGTCCTTTCAGTTTACTAATTTTTTTAAATATTATTTTCATTTCGAATGAAAACTGAATTTGAAGTTTCTTTGCCTGGTTTTTTTCTGTTAGTGTTATCTCTGATGAAAACGGACTGATCTTTTACTTCAAAGGAAATACTAAGGAAAAAGATCAAAGTTTACATCGTGACAATACATTAATGAAATTCATTTAAGGGATAATAACATTATATCAACCTTATCCATATGAAAATAGTTATTTATAATTGACTAAAGTATAAAAAGGATGCACTTCAAGCTCTTTACTTGAAATTACTATCTTTCAATAACTGTTCTGAAAGCTGAGATGGGAATTCTGACCATAGACTACAAAGCATTCTCTTTCCCCTATTTTTAAAAAGAAAATATAGACTAAAGATTTGACAAAATTATTAAAGCAAAATGATTTTAGATAATGGGAGTAGATTAACATAATATTTATTTTAACTTCATAAATTAGGTTTAATTGTTCTGTCAGGTATAATGTACTTTACTTTAAACATATTTTATTGAAAAATGATTTTACACCCTCTCCTTGTATAATTGGTCAAGATACAATAGTAGGTAATAACACATGAATATGATAATCAATGAAATTATAATGAAAAATAAGGATTCACAATCAAGTATTATTTATCAATATTATATTTCAAAAAAAGATGACAACCCCCTAACTGTATACATATTATTGACATGTTCCAGCAAATATTAAAAAAAAAAAAATTATGCATTTAATAGAATATTTAATATAACAGTGTCCTTAATTTAGTCTTTTAGAAGATTTAATAAATTCTTGTACATATGAAAATATTGGTATAATGTACCGTATCTTCTCGCTACTTGTTTATATACATGTACATTACATGATTCTTTCTAGTTATATACTGTATATTGGGTTATTTTCGCCCTTTTACACTTGCTTAAAATTTTGCCCAGCTTTAAATTGGCCCATCCACAGTTCTTTTTAAGATATTACATGTATACAGTCTTCTTTGATTTTGCTCCGTTTTAAAATCGCCCAAATATGGCAAGGGCTAATGGGGCGAAAATAAAACGGGGGCGAAAATTCCCCTATATACAGTATGTAGACTGTATCTTTTTTTCTGCTGTAGTTATTCCTGTCGACTGTAAAGATCTCCATGAAGATGGGCACACAGATACAGGGGTGTACGAAATCTATCCCTATGGTACCATGACCAGTCCTCTCCGTGTTTATTGTGATATGACGACAGTGGCCGGAGGATGGACGGTGGGTTGTTTATTTCAAATTGAAAAGTACATCATAATATTATACAGATGCGCGCCAAAATTTAAGATGATTTAAGATAATTTTATCTCTATATATTTCATTGAAAACAACTTTTTTGTAAAATCACTGGTATGACAACATTTCTCCACAGATTTTATCACACAAATTTCTTGATAATCCAAGAAATTGTTGTAGTTGATGAAAACAATAGTTTTTATCTGATCAGCATTGATATTTTTAAAATATTGTAATTTAAGTGCGAGGTGGATTTTAGAGTCACATACTCACTATGAATTATATAGTCAACATTGATCTTGAATTTTAGAACTGATATTAAGTGATGAACTATCTTGTACTAAAAATTAAAATGTAATAACCTTTTAAAGAAAGATAACTACACATTTTCTGATTTAAGTACTGAAATAAATAATTAGATTGGACAAAAATTGACCATTTGCCAGTTATTTTACAAAATTTTGTTTTCAATGAAATATATAGAGAAAAAAAAATTATCTTAAGTTTTGGCACACAACTGTAATTCACATTCTTCGTTTAATTTGTTCAAAAGAATAAAGGATAAAAAAATTATAAATATTTTGACTTTTCAGTACATATTGATCATACAATTGTTCGAAACAATTAAATTTGTATTGATATACATGTTAATTCTTTTAAAGGCAATCCAAAAACGTGTCAATGGGTCCTTGAGTTTTGACAGGAATTGGACAGCATATAAAAATGGTTTTGGTTCACCAGAACAGGAAGTCTGGGTTGGTCAGTGACTCAGTGTAAATCTCTATCAAGTAAAGACTTTTAGTCGTTTCAAGATTTCACAAAGTTGCTTAACTGTGACCAAAAGAAAAATCGAAGCGTATGAAACATCTGATTTCAAGACTGGGTTATATGTTTACGACCATAGTTACTTATCGTGGCTAATTTGTATCTTAAATAATGAAAACAAGAGGTAATATCACCAAGTTACATGGTTTTTAAGAGGCAAAAAATAACATTGATGTCTATAGTTTCGGAAAATATGTTTTTTTTCATTAAGGTATATTCATATTCAAAATAGAATTAATTGTATTCGATTGACTTTTTCGTTGATTCCAACTGCATCTTAATACAGGAAATGACGTAATACACCAGTTAACAAAAGAAAAGAACTCATTCCTCTATGTGTCTATCACTCTCCAGAATGGTACAACGCTGTATGAAATGTACGATCGATTCTCGGTCTCCAATGAAACAGAGAAATATCAACTCTTTCTTGCAGGACCTGCCACGGGAACCTTAGGTGAGTGTATTGAAGCTAGGCTCTTAAAACTGGGTCCCAATTAAGAGGCTGGGGGTCAACAAATTAACCACCAGATTTAACTTACTTTGTTACATATGATATCTTAAGCTTTCAACTATCATTTGACAGAGAAAAATTTCATACATTTTAGTTTTAAAATTTGATCAATTTTGTATATCTTTATATGGGGCTCTTCTTCTAAAGAAGGTCAAAATAGTCTGAAAATGGCCACAACCCCCAGCCCCTTTCAGTGCAACATTATATGTTTCTTTGAATAGAAAGTTTATTAAATTGGGACGTTGAATACGGAAGCCCGTTGGTGCCACGTACGAAAAATATTTTATCTGGCGGCCGCCACTTATATATCTGGCGGTCGCCACATAATTTATATGGTGTCCGCCAGATAACACCTGGCTTCCCGATGCGCGCGCATGTTTTAACGTGTGATTGCAGAGGTGGATACATTTTAAAAATTATATTAATGACAACAATCAACCAAACTTATAAGAGATTTATTATGAACCAACACTCCAATCCACACTTCTAACTATATATGTAGATATGTTTTTGCATAGAGCAGATTAATATTTGATTTGAATTGTGCAAGTATTGGTAGAGTAGAGTTATTAAGAAGCCTCATCAGGGGTCACGGACATAAATCAAGGTGTTAGTTTTAGGTGAGACCGAGTTATCTCGTCACCTATATTCTTGTGTTTGCTGTAAGCTATGATTGGTTGAGAATTAAATAAAGTTTTGCATTTTGATTTTCTAAGAATGGTGTTCCAATATTTCAGAATTCGTTTTTTATCAATTAACTTTTTTATCAATATGCAGTGGCTGTGTCAAAATCCATCTTTTTAACCTAATAACACTCACCTTTTGCAAAATAATTTATGTGGCGGCCGCCATATAAATTATGTGGCGGCCGCCGGATAAATATTTGGCGGCCGCCAGATATTATGTAGCGGCCGCCAGATAAATTATGTGGCGGCCGACATCACTAAATCTTCATATCAGTATTTACTTTTTGGTATTTCATTTATAATTTTTAAACTTATTAAAAGAAAATTTGGAAGAGTTATAAAAAGAGCACTTTTTTATTTTTTTAAAACTTTTTTTTGAAATTCTTTTAACAAGTTTTCGTTCATTTTCAAACAGATAAATATTTGAAATTGAGAGACGTCAATTGCAGACGACCCATCAGTCGGCGAAGTATTTCTCGTGAAGAGACATTTGTAAATTTATCTTCATCATGGGATACAATTCATTTATGTTGGAAAGAAACTAGTAGAAGTCTGAATAAATGTACAAAGTTTATTAATCTATACTACAACATTCCAGAACACATCTATTAAACATTTACAATACAATGTAACACAAAAATACACGTTACTTTGGCATCATTTGAGGGGCAGACTCAGCCATTAATTCCAATAGCTAACAACCAGTTCAAGACAGCAGTCCAGTCACAGGAGCCGGAAGAAAGGTACAGCTTTTTTCAATTGTACCAGTCAACTCGGTGTGACTAGTGGAGTCTTTTTCATGCCAGCACCTACTTCCCAGTGGATCTCAACTCGGTGTAGCAGCTGTGGAAGGCTGTGAGAAACCAGTTCCGGGCTACAAGAGGGAAGAGAACCATGGAAGGATGTTGATATCTTATTAACTCGGTGTAACTTCCTATGAAGTATTAGCATTTTAAGAAATCGTCGTGTTGCGTTGGATTTCTACATGAAGTATTTGATTTTTTAAATAAGATATTAGTGTCAAAATAAACCAGAATTTTTGGGGAGAATTTAATTAATTGTCACAGCATTCGTAAAATTTATTAAATGGTGGCCTTGTTACAGCATTCGTAAAATTTATTAAATGGTGGCCAGAAGGCCATGGCTGAATCTACCCTAAGAATTATAAGTACTTGATGTAAACACACTGATAACTAATTAAAGGAGTAGTGGTGGGGTGGTGGCGGTTACGATACAATTTCTTTACAAACTTAGCACACTGCTTGTAGCTGAATCCCCACTATAAAAAACAACCAATCAAATTGTAGCAACATAATTTTAGAAACAATAATGGCGGATAGGTGTAACATTTACGTTTTATCTGTAGTTTAACATAAACCTGGCTTTCTACCATAAGCCTCCATTTATGTTGGAAAGTCACGTTTGTGTTTGTCTGAATAAATGTACAAAGTTTAATATGTTTTACGGTGTGACCGTTGGGGCGAGCGCAGTTTACTTACTATCATAAACCTACACACGTACTGTCTATCATTCAAGAAAAAGAAAGCAAAAAGAATAAAACAAAAAACAAAGAAATCATTTCCCAAGCATCGGGATCAAGATTCGAAAATTCTCGGAAGTTTCCGACAAAATCGTAAATATCCGAACCGTTGAAGTGACAAAAGTCTGACGTCAGAATGAGCTAAAAAGTTCTGTTAACTTAGAACGCAAACTTTATTTTTATGGAGAAACGATTGCATTAATAAATTGTTCTTTTCATGTAAGTTGCTTTGTTGAAGCCGAGTTTCACGGAAGCAACCGACATAACTTCGTCAAAATTCGTAAGTTTCCGGTGACGTCATTTGTATCATTTCCGAAGGGCAAGGTGAAGGCCGGTGTTGTGTCATGGGGGTATATTTTTGAATAAGGTAAGGCAAAATCATTTCGTTAAGATTTCGGTAAGAAACAATGTTCCTTTAATTTTTTCACTATTTTTGATTTATTCGCGCAAAGGTCATTGGGTAGTGCGGGAATTCTGGGAAGGTTTCACAGAGAAATTTCGCTGACGTATGTACAGATTTCAATCCGAATTTCCTCTGTTCATACACGTTAGTCTATTGAGCTCGCTTCGCGAGCGTCGCTTCGCGACGCTCGCGGCGCTCGCTATTAATCTATACTACAACATTCCAGAACACATCTATTAAACATATACAATACAATGTAACACAAAAATACACGTTACTTTGGCATCAGTAGGGGCAGACTCAGCCATTAATTCCAATAGCTAACAACCAGTTCAAGACAGCAGTCCAGTCACAGGAGCCGGTGTGAAAGGTACAGCTCATATTGTACCAGTCAACTCGGTGTGACTAGTCTGTCTTGCGACTGGCTCTACTTCCCGTGGATCTCAACTCGGTGTAGCAGCTGTGGAAGGCTGTGAGAAACCAGTTCCGGGCTACAAGAGCCGGAAGAGAATCCATGGAAGGATGTTGATATCTTATTAACTCGGTGTAACTTCCTATGAAGTATTAGCATTTTAAGAAATCGTCGTGTTGCGTTGGATTTCTAATGGGGAAGTCACAAGAGCCGGAAAATAAGATATTAGTGTCAAAATAAACCAGAATTTTTAGAATTTAATTAATTGTTACAGCATTCGTAACATTTATTAAATGGTGGCCAAAAGTCCGTTGAATAGATATAACGTAAATACTTATGTACATTATAGATATGAGACTGAGTGCCCCAAAAATGATGCCAAATTGTGTGTGATAAACAGTAATATATATGAGGCTAACATTATAACATCTATAGGTAAAGTTACAAGCTTAATTGTTTTACAAGTCTGTAGTGAGTAAAGAAGTGTGATCAGTCTATGAATCTACAGTACATACTAAGGAACGCTGAGCATCTCGTAACACAGATACTGGAGTTCTAATATATCTACAATAGGCGTCGGAGGCCCATCTTCCTAATGTTTTAATAATATGGTCCTCCACATGGACAGAAGCTGCAGTCGTAGCCGCACCAATTCGAAAAGAATGTCTATTATACACATCCGCATCACAACAAATACAAGTTAACACATGCTTAAAAGCTGAAATAAATTCAACTCTTGTCAAAGGAGCACCATTTTGATTTACAAACAATGGACTTTGTGGAGAACACAATTCATTAAAAAAATACTATTAATAGTAAGAGAGAAAACTTGCAATGAATTTTAGTTTAAAGGGGGTTTGCAGTTGAACAATTTGCTGACGCAATAAAGTTTTATTAATATTCTTTACGGAATGTATCCAAACACTGCCATATAAAGATGTCTGGACGGATAATTAGGATGAAGATTGCTTTATTGTTAAACCTATTACAGAGGAACCTGTTTAATCTGATACCTGTGTAAATACAATTACAATTTTCAACTTCATTCTCATTTCTACTTATGTTCATGTTATCTACACAGTAGAATCCCACATTATGTCTATTTCGACAAAACATTTCTCTCCCAGTGCATCCAAAAAGCCAAGATTATGCTTCTCTAAAGACATGCCACCATCGTTTTCTATGCATCAATATCTGGTCTGCGAAGACAACACGAAGACAACACGCGTAATTTTTCTTATTCTTGTATCACCTTTGTTTTGGTGAAAATGGAAGGATGTGTGGTTCACATTTCCTATACGATTCTTTAATATATTGATAATTCTAAAACATACTTAATAATCCATCCTGAAAAAAAATATTTAAACATTACAAAAAAAAGGAGCGGTACAAACATGGACCTCCAAAACATCAGAGGTGGGAGTAGGTGCCATGGAGGAGTGAGTATCCCCTGCCGACCGGTCACACTCACCGTGTGCTCCTTATCATTATTGGGAATTAACGGTGAAAATTCGTGGACAACTTAGTGTGCAAATAATGGCTTAACAATCAGTATACAAAAAGTCAGTCAGCATTTGACTTAATGATAAATTATATTTGATGACAAAGTCATTATATCACCATAGAACTTACGAAATGATGAATTTAAACGAGACTGATTATATTCTTGCTTCATCAACTTGTTTGTCAGTAACTTACCTCGTTTTAGAAATTGTTCTTACGTAGAACATACTAGTACTCTTCCGTATCGAATCAATTGAGAAATTTAAGCTCCGTATGCAGGTGACAAAGGTATATTGCTGCATAAGTAAGAGAAGTTTACGATTGAAAAGTTAAAGACATTATGTTTATCATAAAGCTTTGTTGTTAAATAACCATCAACGTCTTTTTCTAGTAAAAGATCCAAATATGAAACAGATTTGTCAGGCTCAGTGGTATCAATTTAT